GTGCCCCTTTAAGAGGTCTGGGGCCGGGAGGGGGGCAGTAGAGTTTCCCTGGTGTTGGCCAGAGAGGCCACCAGGGAAACCTGGGGAGGGCTAGCCTCCCACTAGTTCGAATTAAGGGGCTACACACCCCTTAATTCGAACTAGCTAGTTCGAACTAGGCTTAATCCTCGTGGAATGAGGATTACCTAGTTCGAACTAAGCGCTCCGTTAGTTCGAATTAAATTCGAACTAGCGGAGCGCTAGTGTATGGCCAATGAAAGTTAGTTCGAACTAACGTCTGTTAGTTCGAACTAACTTTGTAGTGTAGACATACCCTTAGTTATTTCATGCAATTCATTAGTGTACTTTCATTTCAACTATTGAAATATTTACAAATGTAAGGAATGTATCACTTACAGTTATTATTGGAAATAGCATCTATAGCACTTAACTTTCTTGCAGTAACATTAGAGATAGAACTATTCTAAAGAGTGATTTTTTCTTAAAGGAAGAAGAGATTCAAAATATTGTGGAGATATTTGAAACTTAAAGGAGTCAGAAGGTCAGTTTTTCAATTCTTCCCTAAATTTGGGTGCTTATCTGAATTTCATGTATTTTCAAAAGGGCGCTGATAATCTTATAAGTCTCTCATGACATTTCTGTTACTTGCTGTTTCTTGGTTTACCCAAAAGAAAACTAATTTATTAAATGGTAGAGGTCATGTGTGTGTTGGTATAAAATATTATTATTAAGGAGAAAGTAATTCTATTCTGATAGAAACTGAATACAGATAGAGATGTTCTTATTTTTTTAAAAATGCATCCCAGTTTTAAAAACTGATACAAGATGGATAAGCAAGCTCCACTCAGCTCTGAAAAGCTTTAAAAGTATATATATATATATATATATACTTTTTCTTTCTTCCTAAAAAGTTCACATCATAAACCTGTAGGTTCTTAAAGAATTACGTGAAATGCAATAACAATGAGTATCAAAACAACAAACCTCCAATAATCTGTGTGCGTCTGAGTATTATCAAACCAAAGCCATGTCATATTAAGTGTTAAAAGATACTCTCTCAAGACCTCCTTAAAAAGTGCAGATTAAGCAACTTGTAAGGTATTTGTGACTTTCGCCCTTATAGTTAATCCATTTGGGAACTCTAGCCTTGATTCAACAAAGTCAATGGGACTATTTATGTTTAATATGCTTTGCTGGTTTAAGACATCTGCAGCTGCCTCCTATTATATTTTATATAGTAAATAATTTTGTGGTTATTGTGTTTATAAAATTCCTACGATTATATAGGCAACAGTTTGCTGCTGATCAGATTATGGCAACTGTCTAAAGCAACTAAAGTTCTTGCTTTTTAAGACAGAAGACTATTAATTTAAATCAGGGGCTCAATCCTACTGCTGAAATGCAATATCATGGCCACACAAAAATCCATCATTGGATGTTTTTAAAAATCAGACAGTCAAAAACCTATCTAGGTTTACTTGGCCCTGTCTCAGTGCAAAGGGCTGATGAACCTTGATGAACCTTCCATTTCTGTGATTTTTGTATTTACAGCTGGTCCCCAAGTTGCGAATGGTCGACTTACAACCATTCGCATTTATGACCAAAGCTGTCGTAAATGGCAGACCCCGAGTTACGAACGCAATCCACGCTTACGAACAGCACAGTCGCGTGTAACTCTATGGGGTCTAACTTACGAACAAACTGAGATACGACCAATTGCTTGGCCTGTAACCGGTTCTTAAATCAGGGAGAGGCTGTACTCACATGAGTAATCCTGTAGACTTTGTTACAGTGGTTTGTGGGAGTAAGACTGTGCAAGATCAGCTCTTTAGCGGTAATACCTTTTCAGCGTTCCACCCATTTGAGTTCTTTTACCAGGATTCCATTTGCTTATTTTTGGAACAGCGAATATTCAGAATACTAGCAATCTTCTGCCCTAAACAGCGTAGCATTCAAACAGTCAAATACCCCAGTGTCTTGGCTGACACTTTGTTTTTCAAAACACTGTTACAGATTAATTGGCAGGAATACAAATACGCGCTGCTGGGTACAATATGTTACTGAGCACATTAGTGGGCCATGACTACATGTTATCACTTGACTGCTAATACATACAGATAATTATCTTCTTAGCCATTGGTATATGAATAACTGTCTGTGTCACACAGTTTGTCTGACGTTGCCGTGTTTCTTTCACCTGCTTAATCTTTTTCCCTTCTCTTTTCAATATGGCCTTAATTATATGAGAATCCTGGGACTGATCTCTCTTCATTTGGGGAAATTCAGATGTGAATTTCTCATCTTAAGTCCATCTTTAAATATAAGCCTTTATAGTGTACTACATTTCCCAAAAGCTAAATTCACTTGTTTAATAGAAATACTCTAAGGAAGTGGTTTTCAACTTTTTTTCATTTGTGGACCCCTAAGAAATTTCTGATGGAAGTGTCCACCTTTGGAATTCTTGGATCTAGTCTATGGACTCTATGTTAAAAACAACTAATGTAAGGAAACCAAGAAGTGTGTTTTACTTTAGTGAAACCCACTAAGTTAGTTAGTTTTGCAAAACTCAAACAGATAATGATGGTTCAGATCCCAGTTTTTGTCTTTGACCCTTTGGTCAGATCCTTGGAAAAGAGCCATGGAATTCTTAATGAGCCTAACCAAGAAATATTCTGATTGGGGTCTCATCCAAGAGACTGAGCCTCCAGCAGTCTTCTAGAGCATTAGACCAGTCCTGCCCTCAAAAGGGAAGATGCTGCCTATTGAATCACCTGCTTAGATAAATTAACATTGAATAGCTTCTTTCCTAAGGCCCCTGTCTACCCTGGAGTTGAAGGCTGAGATTTTCAAAGCTATCCGGATTCTTTTGAAAATCATAGATCACACTGTTAGCTGCAGTAACTTTATGCCAGGTCTGATTCATTTGATACCAGTTCTCATTCATCTGATGTGGGCAGTGTTTATCGGTGCTTTCTAAACCAGATTAACATATTTATTTAAAAACCTATTGATTAGCCTCGTCTGGATTTACACTGTTACACTGACCTGATTTTAGAATGTGGCCAAACTAACCTTATTTACACGGTTGCTTGAGCTAGTTTAAAACCAGTTTTAGAATCTGCTCAACTAACAAGTCAGTGCCCACTAAGCTGTAGGTCTTAAAAGCTGCACTTTTTAATGGTAGTGAATGAAACAATTCGGGTCATAAAATGGGTTCCAGGGAGAAAACATCTTTAACAGAATTATAATCCAATATAAATTTAGAAATAAAGCAATTTCTACAGACTACCATGTCACCTGGAGAGCAAAATGGCTAAGTTACTGTAGGGAATTCATTGAGGGAAATCTTTACAATGTTATAAAATCAAATTGTATCTCCTTGTAAGATGAGGTCTCAATAATATAAAAGTTTTACGAGAAAATGTATAACCTTTAAAAAATCTTTTCAGTGTAGAAATCTGTGCAAAAACTGTAAGTCTGTGTCTAGCAGAAAAACTTGCTAGCTGTCTACACTGGGCTCTTGAATTTCTGCAAGAACACTGACGATCTCATGTAAGAAATCAGTGCTTCTTGCGGAAATACTATGCTGCTCCCATTCGGGCAAAAGTCCTTTGTGCAAAGCTTTTGCGCAAAAGGGCCAGTGTAGACAGCTCGGATTTGTTTTGCACAAAAAAGCCCCGATCGCGAAAATGGTGATGGGGGCTTTTTTGCAGAAAAGCGTGTCTAGATTGGCACGGACGCTTTTCCGCAAAAAGTGCTTTTCCACAATCTAGATGCTCTTTTCCACAAATGCTTTTAATGGAAAACTTTTCCGTTAAAAGTATTTGTGGAAAATCATGTCAGTCTAGACGTAGCCTAAGAGAATTCATGTCATTATTTGTTATGTTATTGCTCCCTGTGTGAATAGATATATATATGGAGAGAGAGAGAGATAATTTTAAAAATTAATTATTTTACACCTATAGATACTATGTGAAAAAAATCACCATTTTTGCAGTTCACATTTGAAGCTTTATTTGTCTTTTTCTTTGATACCAGATTGAGGACTTACATTCATCATGAAGAAAATAATTATATATGCTATGTGATCAGAATAATCTATTTTCCTACTGACAGAACTTCATGCTAGTCACATTTATCTTGGCTTTCCACATTTGCTTAGCATTTCAATCCAATATAGGACAATTTTGTTCTCACTTATTGTTAAACATTATGGCTACATCTAGACTGGCATGATTTTCCGCAAATGCTTTTAACGGAAAACCTTTTCCGTTAAAAGCATTTACGGAAAAGAGCATCTAGATTGGCATGGATGCTTCTCCACAAAAGCACTTTTTGCGGAAAAGTGCCTGTGCCAATCTAGACACGGTTTTGCTCTAGAAAGCCCCGATCGCCATTTTCGCCATCGGGGCTTTTTTGCGCAAAACAGTTTTCAGCTGTCTACTCTGGCCTTTTTGCACAAAAGCATTTCCGGAAAAGGGATTTTACCCGAACGTGAACGTCAAAGTATTTGCGCAAGAAGCACTGATTTTGGACAGTAGAACAGTAGGACAATAGGACAGTAGAACATCAGTGCTTTTGCACAAAATCAAGTGGCCAGTGTAGACAGCTGGCAAGTTTTTCCAACTTGCCAGTCTAGACGCAGCCTACTAGTATTACGGTCATGATAGAGAACTTCACGGAGGCATCCCCATTAGGAGGAATCCTTCTTAAGGGTCTTTTGGGCTTGGCAATCCCTCAAAGAGCTTACAGTTTAAACAGACAAACCCAATACAAGATAGGAGGAGCACAGAGAAGTAATATCACTTGGCTAAGGTCATACAGAGGTCAATGAAAGGTTACATATAGAATCTAGGACAGGTCTACCAGCTCCCAGTCTAGTGCTCCATTCTCTCAGATGCATTATCTATCAGATTAAAAATCCAACCCAACCATGCACACTCATTCATCAAAGGAGTCCCCAGAGCTGTAAATTTGTCAGCATAACCTTTTATGGAAGGGACTAATACTGACAGAAGTAAAAATGATGGGAACTTTTAATTCTGCTGAATCTTGACTTTACCAAATTCTCTCTAAATAAATGTTCAAGGAAAGTGTCTACATCAATTTACACTATTGTGAGAAAAGTCAGTTTTATGGTCCTTCTACTTAAAATTCCAAAAATGAAAAATGATTATCCCACCTATCTAATATATAAAGGAGCATGTTTGTGCTCTAATAACTCGGACACTATAAGACCTACCGCAACCAAAGTTTCCAGGGGATAACCTTTCCTCCAATAGAAGGTTTAAAGGTAGTTTTGGACCCAACTGGGCCCGATCTCAACCTGAAAAAATCAAAAATAACCTGCCGCACTGTGCTGCAGGGGCAGCCCCACCCACCCTAGGTCACATGCCCGATGCCTGCGGCCCCAAAGCACCGTCCAGGACTCGCCTCACCCCAATGCTCATAATGGCTCAGGAATCCACCCTCCACCTCCCCCCCGCCCCGATACA